GTGAACCCATCAAACAGAAGATATTCATATTGCAAAAATAATCACTAAAGAGCCTGATTTTTAACTCCTGTTAGCTTTCCTGTATAGATAAAAGCATTTGAAGGAACGTAGCATCATTTAGACCTTCTTAGAATGTCTAGTTTTTCTTGAGTATTTCTTTCAAAGTATTGCTGGTTTAGCAGTGTCACCCCACATACTTTACCCTTGAACAATATGAAAAATCGGTATACACTGTATATACACTTCTCATATACAAGTCCCTCTGACAATGTTACCTTGGATATGAATCACGGTTGATTGCCAAATAACAAACAATGAAATCTGTCCTGCCAGTAAAATAGGTTTCAAACAAAATATAAATTTCACATTTGTATCCCTAGGGCACNGTCAAAATTAACGTGTGTAAAATAATCTACAAACCAGACAGATATCAACGAAGTAGATGTTGATAATAACAAGGAAAGTGTTTTAAATGTTAAATTTTGGGCTGGGTGCAGTGCGACAGCAACGTGAGTGTTATACACCTGATGATGGCCGTCTGAGGCCGAAACATGTAGTGTAGAGGAGCAAGATCAAGGACACATAATATATTGTTTGCACTTGGGACGGAATTTGTATCATTATATCATTTATCGCATGGAGTGCAACAGGATGCTTAAATATAATATTACCAAAACTTATCAAAATTGTAACAACCACTTTCTGTTTGGGGGCCCATTTCAAGCTGCAATGTTCATACTCACCGAGCACGATTCCATTACAAAGGAATGCCTGAGCAGAGAATATGAATAAATTCCATCACTGTTTGGGAACTAGCAAGAGACACATGCATACAAAGAGATGGCACATTAGAAACCACTTTTTATGTTCAGAGGGCTCAATATATGTAAATTTACCAAAATCTTATGACAGATTTCTTCACCATCACAGTACTTTCTCATATGTATTATGTATATGAGAAAGTAAAAGCAGAGTTTAAAATATTAATTTTATGAAAAAATCACAGGGAATATACCACAGGTATAAACCTTCAAATCCTTACACACTAAATGACAAGGAATGTCTTCAAACTGTAGGTCTGAGGCATGTTTTCACATCCCCTAATGGCACTTTCATGCCCACCAATGAATGTGGATGGAGGTGATAATGACTGATTAAACATAAAAATTAGGTGATCAGCATATTTTCAGGGGATTCACAATCAGGCATTGATAAATGAAAATCCTTTGAACACAGTTGGTACAAAGTTATTTTAATTAAATACAGAAGTTCAAGCCAATAACTGAAGAATTACAATATGAGATCAGTGCATTCACAGCAAGAAAGATTTATGTACAAGTGCCCTCATAACAGGACTCACAGATTGCAGCCATGTCATGTCAACTCTTTTGATTTTCTGCAATTACATTGTAGTACAAATGGACAAAAAAAAAAAGAGCTTGCAAATGTGAATATGGAATACCAACATAAAATGACAGATGAAGAACAAGATATCAAATTAATAAAGGGGTTACTTCTGAACACAGTACATGACATTAACATGTCTGAAATCTTAATATTATAAAAACCTCCTGGTAAGGCATAAAGAATTCCAACATGGCCAGTTAAACTGTGACCAGCAAACAGCCCTGACATGACACAGCCTAGGCAATGAATGAACTGAGTGGTGAGGTTCCATTTAACAGACATAATGTCCCTGATTAACCAAATAAGCACTATGTCATGAAAACTTATGAGGGAGCAGATGCATAGATCCATTTATTCTTGACCTTAGCACTAGTTGGAGGTGAGAGAAATAATAACACTAGGAGCAGAAAAACAACAAATGAAAATAATGTGTGTATACAAATGCAGCAGGTGGCAGTGGTAACCACTGTGCTGGGGGTGGTGGTGGGGGTGGGGGTGATGATGATGGGGAGGAGGAGGTAGTGATGATAATGATAAACATGAATATGTAACAGAAAAGGATGGAAATTCATGGGAAAGTGTCCCCTTGTCATGATTCCTTTACAGAGCAAAAGCACATATTCTGTTTATGTTTATTTATGGTTACAGGTGACAGCCGCGTAATCTTTGTTGCTACCTTCCTCGTTTGAAATCCACCATTACAAAATCCTCGAAGAATGTACGAACTTCAAACATAAATTCATGCACATACCAAGGGAGCCTACTATCATGTGACAAAATCACACATTTTTTACCATTTACCCTCTGAAATAAAATTACAAAAAAACAAAAAGTAATTGGCTGTGACATATGAAGAGCAAGTTCCAATGGATAGGTGATATAGTCAGTGTGTCTATTTAATGACAAAGAGCCATGAAACTCCAACATGAGAACTGAAATATTGCATGCTCATTGAGTTAAAATCAAATGATACAAATTACGGACATGCATAATCACATAAGACTGAAACCCTTTCCTGCATCTTAAAAAGTGCAAAATTCATGAATTTACAAGACTGATTTGCTGGCTGGCTGGCTGATTGACTGACTACATGGAGCAGAATCCTTTTTGAGATACAAACAAAAAATAATTTCAAGAACAGTAGCCATGCAACAAATTTATCAAGACCAGAAAGACCAAAATAATTAATTGAATACAATGATGTATGTAAACTACACATGACAACAATAACAGAAATAATAATGGATAATATATGTGGAGCGCAACTGGATACAAATCGATTTCTAAATATGAATTTACTTATTCTGTTACTTCAGAAACATATCAAGTAGTATAAGAGAAGAAAAACAGATGAACATTGTAAGATGACCAAACATAAAGCCATTACAAACAAATGTCTTGCTGTACCAATCACAATGGAGCACTGGCATCTTCCCTACTTAAATTTCACAACATTAAATCTAAGAATTTTAATAACAGTTTAACAATCAATATGTCCTGATTGACATCTGAGAAGCAAGTTCCATAAGATACATGATACAAACTCCGTCTTCAGTGCAAACCATATATAATAGGTCTTTCGTTTTGCTCTCCTTTACACACTACATGTTTCGGCCACAAACGGCCATCATCAGGTGTATTACTCACGTATCTATCACACTGCACTTAGTATAACATTTAAAATTTAGCACACATAGTAAAGACAAGCAGCGGCACACACACAGAGAGACTACACAGAATAACGCCGGTACAGTACTAGAAACAAGAAGTAGCCGCTGCAGCACTATAGACATAAGGCGAGGAACCCTGACAATTTTAAATTTTAAAATTAAGAGGAAAATTGAAACGATTTTGAAATTAGAACTGAAGATTTTATAAGTGCTAATTCAGAGAAATCAAAATTGACGTGTGTAAATAACAAAGACATCAACAAAGTAGATTTTGGTAATAACGACGAAAAGAACAATCAGGAAGACCTATGTTTTTAAATTTTAAATGCTATACTAAGTGCAGTGTGATAGATACGTGAGTAATACACCTGATGATGGCGGTTTGTGGCCAAAACATGTAGTGTGTAAAGGAGAGCAAAACGAAAGACCTATTATATATGGTTTGCACTGAAGATGGAGTTTGTATCATGTATCATATGGAGTGCAACAGGATGCTTAAATATAACAAAGTTCCATAAAATTTCATCCCATAGATAAAAAATCAATGATCTAGAATGAGTGCATCAAGAGAAGTTTGGTTTCTTCATTCAACTGTGGTATCAACTTCAGATTTCTCTGTTATACCAATGACCTGACATATGTCATATGCATAAACTGTTCAAGAGAATAATAATGCTTCAACTTCTTATGTTACTAATAAAAGGGACTGTGAATTAAACAAATAAAACAGTACAATGTTATTTCACTACCTTCCCTAGTACTATTCCTTACTTCAGTCCACATCATGATGATAAAACTATCAGCAATGATTATAAAAAACTTAATATGATAATCCAGAAAATGCTACTAAAATGGTGATAGTACTAGTAGTAGCGGTACGATGATAGCAGTAGTAATCCTCTCTTGTGTATGTATATAAACATTCAACAATAATAAGCGATGTCTGTTAGATATTATATACACTGGCACCCTACTCCAAGCTTGTGTTAAGGCGAAGCAGCAGCACAGCGGGACTAGCATCAATCTGTCCACTCGAGCATCCCTACATGACAAAGCAGAATTATGTGCCCTGTGGTTCCCAGCACAGTCTTCTTGTCATCACAGCATGGAGTCAGTTTGTACCCATGACACTGCAAAGTACATTTTGAAATCTCATAAGGAAAAATTATTATGAATACGTCATTAACACTGATAAACTGATTGTGCACTGCAAATAAGAGCTGGTAAACACTAAAGGATACATTCACTGTAACTCTTGACCTTTCATAAAAGCATGTAATGCCAACATGGAAACATAATACTACTTGAAAAAAATTCATAAAAAGTTACAGTAATCGGAACAATAGCATTGTCACCTCTGGAAATATTTGTAACTTCCAAGCACATTATTTCCTGTAATGTCATGGAATGTACTGGTATTAAAAAAAATGAATACTTGTAACTTTCCTTCCAATGAGCAGTTTGCTAGAAATGCTGAATCAATAATCAGTTTTAAAAATCAAAATTACTGGAATCATAAAACAAACCATTCCTTTTTGCTAAAAGTTTTTCTTTAGCAGACAATGCAGTATCAATAATAAAACAGTCAACATCGAATGCTGGAACTATGTCTTTCTCCCAGAATTCACTTATTTTCACTAACAGACAATTCTTATGAGACTGACTTTCATACACAAAACTGAAATAGTGATTGTTTATATACTAATATATCCAGAAAGAAGAAGTTTGAGGGTGGGGGGGTGTAACTGTGCACATTACCATGCATGTTTAAACCTCACTTGCTTCCCACTGAACTGCACAATTTGACCAGCTGATAGCTGGGAACCACTGGTATGAGTAATATACGCCTCTGAAAGCACTGGGGTATGTGTGTGTGTGTGTTGCACATATTCATGACAATCAGCTGAGGAATGCACCACTGACTTGTGTGTGCGCTAGCATCAGGATATCTTTCTTCTCCTTCGGGAACCGGAGTTCCCGCCCAGCCAAACGTGCAGCCTCCAGCTCCCGTTCAGCTTGCCCAAGCTCTCGTCCAAGCGCACCCGCATTCTCCTGCTCACGCGCAATCCAGTCCAGTGCCATCTGAGAGCGCATGTCATCATCTAGTGCACGGTTTGAGTAGTGTGCCACTACCTCCTGGCGTGAGCACTGGCGTTCCCGCATGGCCTTGAGGCTACCATTCCAATGCAGCAGTTGGAAAACAGTCATCAGCTCCTGGAATTCCAACATTGTGCGCCCCTTGTTTGCCTCCAACATAAAGCGGAAAGCTCCAATACCTGTCTTTGGGTTGTCTGCCTCCTCAAGTTCTCCCTGCAAAGGAAACATTCTTAAAACCTTTCTAAAAGTTACCATATTCATACATGGTTTACCATCAATTTGAGTAGACACGCAACGACAGACAAAGGAATTGGCAAGTGATAAACTACAAATCATCCACGGAGATAGACGCAAACCACAGATACTAGAAAGCTTGGTATGGAGCAACTCAAAGTATAATATATCTAATTAATTATTTAACTATGAGTACCAGGAGTTAATTAAATAATTTTCCTGGGGAGTAAAGCATGGCTGGCGTGTAAGGCTGACAACCTTACCGCCATCTTTCAGCCAACTGTCTAGATAATGTGGGACCCTCAACGTCTCACAACCCTATGGGCCTCGACGGCCTGTTACAGGTATAGCTTTACTTACTTACTAATTTCATGGAGCTGAGTTCTTCTTGAGTAGTGCACTTCTTACCAGAATCTCAGCTGAGTATATGACATGACATTCAGAAAATGTCTAGTAATACAATTACAGAACACTTCCCAATAACAAAATACACAACAACAGACTGCACTGTATATATGATTACACTATAAACAACATATTCAGGGATAGTTAAAATTTCACTGCTCTCAAAATATATTAATTGCTAGATCAATGTACCAAGCAAATAACACAAAAATCCCATCCATTTCGCTCACTAACCAAATATATATATATATATAACTGCTTCCGTGGTCTAGTGGTCAGAGTTCCTGGCTACAGAACCAGAGGCCCGGGTTCGATTCCCAGTGCTACCAGATTTTTTCTGAGAAATAGTGGGTGTGGAATGGGGTCCACTCAGCCTCATGATGATAATTGAAGAGCTATTTCAAGGAAATAGCTACTCCAGTCTAGAAAACCGAAATTAACAGCCATGGGGATTTGTTGCACTGACCACGCAACACCATCTATCTGCAAAAGTTGGCACTAAACTTCGCTGACAAGCGATGGTGACTCGCTCAGTCAGTATAGTTTGCTTGCGGACTAGAAAATCACAGAGTTTTTATGTATACGAGGGGCAGTCAAAAATTTCCTGGAATGGTGGTATAGCACTCTAATGGTAGGACATACAGCAATGCTTACCTATCACCTTCAAAGTAGGACCCTTGTGCGTGCACACATTTGCTCCAACGATCCTGCCATTGTTGGAAGCAGCGGTGGAAGTCTTCTTTTGGAATCCTCCGGAGCTCAGCCATTGCATTCGATTTGATGTCCTCCATGGTTGCAAAATGTGCCCCTTGAGGCCCATTTTCAGAGTAGGGAAGAGCCAAAAGTCACTCGGAGCAAGATCCCGCGAGTACGGTGGTTGAGTGACGACAGGAATGTTTTTCTCGGCAAGGAACTGCTGCACAACAAGCGATGTGTGGCTTGGTGCATTATCGTGATGCAGAAACCACTGTCCCTGTCACTTGTCGCGCCGCTTCCTCTGAACCACATCGCACAACCTCTGCAAAATTTGCACGTAGAAATGGCCTGTAACAGTCTGTCCAGGCAGGACGAACTCATGGTGCACCAAATCATCGATGTCAAAGAATGCAATGAGCATCACTTTGTCTTTGGATCTGATGAGGCATGATTTTTTGGCTAGGGAGACGACGCTGTGTGCCACTCCAATGACTGCATCTTCGTCTCCAGGTCATACCAAACACCAATGACTCATCACCAGTGACGATCTTTTTGAGAAACATCAGGTCCAGCATACTTTTGTCAAACAGATTGCCAGCGACCATCATGTGACATTCCATCTGATCTGTGGTCAGCTGCCTCAGACCAAACTTCACACTGACTCATCTCATCTTCAAATCATAGGACAAAATGACATGACTGGATCCATGAGAGATACCAACTTCTTGTTCCAACTCCGCGATGGTCATTCTTCGATCACATCAAATCAGTTGTCGCACTTTTCCAATCATTTCTTCGGTTCTGGATGTTCAAGGTCTCCCGCTGTGCTGATCATCTTCTAATATCTCCTGCCCATTCTTAAACCAGGAAAACCAGTCGTAAACTGCGGATTTCTTTAGTGCAGTATCACCGTAAACTTGCTGCAGGGCCGATTGCATCTCTGAAGCAGATTTTCCCAATTTGCACATGAACTTGATGTTTGCACGCTGTTTGAACTACAACATTTCACCGAATGACCAACACTCACATCTAATTCAAATGGAACAGTAATGACACTGTACACTGAAACCTGTCCAGACCTGTCGTGCCTGCGAGCAGACATGCTGAGCTCCCCACCACAACAGTGTGTGCGCTGTCTTAATGCTTGTTCTCCGTCTGCAGGGGAATTACGGGAACTTTTTGACTGCCCTACATGTATATATATATATATACACATGCATGCATACACACACACAATATTTGATATAGCAAGTGTCACATATCTTCGAACAAGGCCAAGAGTAACCTTGAATGCACAGAAGAAAAATTTCAGGCAAGGGGGTGGAGGGTGTGAGAAGTGACAGGCGGCCAGTGGAAGAACGAGTGTTAAGAAACTCCTCCCACCACAAGCTTTGCAAGGGAACTGACTAGGAATGAGGGGCCTTGCTCGAAGTTATGTGACAGTGTCTATATCAGACACATGATTACAATCAACATACATGGTGTTCCACAGTTTTATGTCATAACTTCAGGAAGTTAATCCTGAAGTGGTTCCAAGTGAAAAATCTTAACTCAACATGGGCACAATTCTCAAATATTACATAGCTATGGGTAAGTGTAAAAGGTGTGATGGCTGAAATGTGTGGGTGTCACTGCATAAGTGCACAGTGGCATACAGAAACATACAAATATAGAATTATATTCAAAATTTACACTCAGGCACATGATTATATTCAGTAAATCACTTCTTAGTAATACAGATTCATCTGTAACAGGCATTCTCACACTGTTATTTTAAACTGTTTATTCTGTACACATTATACATATTCACTCACTTTGAACGATGCTCTGGCCTCAGAAACAGCCTTCTCAATGAACTCATCAGATATCCGCCTGGATGGGTGTTCATTAAATACAGAGTTCATCAGGGCAATCTTGGCAGCACTGCGTCGAGCCTCTGCCTTTGTTGGACAATTCTGAAAACAATATAGGACTGACATCAAAGAAAAGGCAAAGAAAAACAGTATTTGTCAAATTGTCAATATTAATAAATGACACCATTTACTGGTAATCCTGTGCATTTTTTGGTTACAATTATCAATTTCAGGATCAATATTATTTAATACGACAGACACTAAATGATGGGATCACTCGGAACTCCTGTAATGATACAGGGAATTTAAAATCCTAGTTTCGCTGTGGCTGTTATAATCAGCTGGATATATTATTATTATTATTATTATTATTGGAGGGGGGCTCCCCATGCACCACGACTAATAGTCTATTGTACGTCCCCCTTTAATATTCTACCAGTCCCCATACCCTGCCGGTACTGGTGCTCGCTATCAGCTCCATTCAGCCAGCAAGGCTGGCTGCAGTACCCAATGCTTACCCATCTACCGGAGGCATTGGAAACTACTTGGACAGGAAACTTTTTACCTAATAATTTTGCTCAGAGGTCTCCTAGAGACATGAGGATCTTTTACGTGCCGTAAATCTACGACACGGGACACACGGCTTAAAGTCCCTCCCTGAATTTTTCCACCCTTAAAAATTCCATGACCTCCGCCGGGTTTGAACCCGCTTACCTTGAGTCATAAGGTGGAAACGTTACCCCTAGACTACGGAGGCCGCTTCAGCTAGATATAAAGGTCAGAAAGAGAAAAAAATACATCCATATATAATTCTGAAGAACAGGATATTCTCTGGAGAATTACTGACATCAAAAACCAAAACAGAGATGAATTAATAACATTACAGCAACTTCTAGAAAAAACTTATGCCTACATTCTTTCAAATTCTTCAGTCTATATGGTGAGATCATATTAACTTATACATAAATGTCAGTTTATGTGATGTGTGTGATGTCTGTGATATCAGCATCAGCAGAGGATGCAATACTCTGTCTTAAGATAGTGCTGATATAGTTGATTACTGTGGTTCTGTAATGGGATATTCTGAGTGATATTATACTAAGAATTTATCACAAATTTTGCTTTATGAGCGACTAAGGTAACGTTATCCCTGTATTCAATTAATACCATACTAATTACAAGTTTAGAGAAGATTCACGTTTGAAATTTTAAAAGTTCGGTTAAAGTCTGTGTTAAAATGGAAAGAGCCTCAAGGCTCAATCTTCAAAAGCACACACCCACAATGTCCTTCATTTGTGTTCAGCTTCCCAGAGTATCTACTGCTGACAACACTTTAAACAACACAGAGCAGAGACATCACATATACTTTCTAACACACCATTATCACCATTACTTTGCTGAAGATACCATCTATACTGCATAGATGGTATCCATGAATTGCTGAAATGTAATCAAAATCATTATACAGTCGTTTTTAAGAAGATTGTAATTTTCTGTCTGGAGGGCCCCTGTGAAAGCCTCCTATTTTGAGAGCTATAATGTTCACATTCATTGAACGCTGATCTTTGATAAACATAGAGTCCACACAGAGTGGACATATTGTTCCACCATTCCTAAACCTTGGCACTAGATGAAGTTGGTCAGTTTCATGCCCCAGCCACTTTACACATGGGAAAAAATCACAAGGTACCCACCGCACAGGAGGCTGGGTGGGCTCCAGAGCCAGTCTGGACACTATACAGGAAGAGAAAATCTCTTGCTCCTACCAGGAATTGAACTTTGATTCCTTGATCATCTAGCCCACAGCCCAGTTACTATACCAACTCAGCTGTTCCAGGTCTACTATGTGTAAATCTCATAAAACTTAAAGATAAACTGTTTTCTTCAATCATAATACTTTCTAACATATACTACAGACATGAGAAAGTGCTGAGGTCAAGAATATGTACATGGAGCTATACATCCACTCCCCCATATGTCTTCATAGCATAGTGCTTAATTAGTTAAGCAGAGGGAGAACTTTGCCTTTACAAAAAAGTAAAAATATATGATCCTAACACAGCATGACTACTATATTCATGGGTATCAAAAGCAATGTGTACTAGATGCAAACATGCAACAGTAGTTCTCCATGTGTTCACAATAAACACTGTATATTAGAAGAACTGTATGTTCTGGAATAAAATGCCGTGTAGTCTGACGAAAATCATCCAGCTTTTCAAAAGAAAATGCCACCATCTTCAGGGTCAAATAATAAACCAAGTAACACACCAGCATGAAGCAGGGAGTAAGTAGAAATCTGCTGATGAAGCTGACATGTTCCTCTGAAACATCAGTTGACTTTCAACAGACTACATGCATTATATCTCAGATGACAGATCTCTTCATATCCACTGCTATGAGGATCTCAAATCCTACAATGTATATTAGCATTGGGAGCAAAGGAAGTGAAGTCACAATCACAGACATAGCAGTGGCAATGGACGAAAATCTCAAGAAGCAGGAAGCAGATATATATATACAGTAAAACTTGGTTATAGCAACATCGGTTTCTGCGACACCTTGTCTATTGCGTCAAATATTCAATGGTACGAACTAATTCCTCATAAAGCAACTGTTTTTATACCTTGCTTAGTACGACATGCACAAATGCATCAACCTCGTATGTAACGTCATTTTCATTCCTGAATTTCTCTGATATGGACATTGAACGTAATTTAGAAAGTGTGTATTGGGCAAGTAACAGGAAACAGATGAAGATAACTGATTACTGTACTCGTATCTAGGTACAGTAAGGCACAACAATTGATGTAATCTACTGTAATTTGGTGAGTAGGCCTACCTTTAATATACAGTATTAGTGCGGTGTGTATTGTCAGTGAAAAGCGCTGTAATATGTCTTTGATATTACACATTTGGGCAATTCCACGTTAATGTTACGTTAATCTGTACTTAACTACGTATTTCACTAAAAAATGCAACATTTTAACTCGGTTTTTGGTAGATTTTTACGTGACTAACATAAGGCTACTGTGGAAGTGCCCATTTCGGTTACAACGACATTCGTTTATAACGACACTATTTTTAGGTCCCTTTGATGACGTTATAACCAAGTTCTACTGTATATACAGAATGTATCAAAACTCAACGGCAAAACTTCAGGATCGGATTCCTCGTATAGAGAGAAGAAAGAAAGTGTATGACATGGTTCTGGAAATGCATAATTACAAAGTTATCTGACCTTTTAGTGATATCAGTGCAATCCGACACTCCCAACACTGTTGCACTGTTACACTGAATACATCTGTAATGCCAACTGGAACACTCTGGTCACATATCAGAGGAAATGTTCAAAGTGACCTCCTCTTGCCTAAATACAGGCCTCCAATCGTCATTGTATTGAGTGCTGCACACAATCAAAAATGCCCAGTGTAGTGTGTACTGTCTGACAGGCTGCCACAATGCACGCATGGAGAGTTGGTACATCAGCATCAGCAGTCGAATACACAATACACTTTAAGTGTCGACACAGGTAAAAGTACAGGGAGTTTAAGTCAGGAGAGCGTGGTGGCCGAGCAATCGGTCAACCTCTACCTATCCAGTGCCCAGGATAATGTGCATTAAGGTGCCTGCTGGCTGACAGACTGAAATGTGCAGCAGCACCATCATGCATAAAGTACAGCTGTCGACAGGATGCTAGTGGCATGTATTCCAAGTAATCAGGCGATGTAGTATGCAAGAAATCTGTGTAGTTTTGTCCATTAAGCTTGTACGGAAAAACGTAGTCCCAACAAACAATTAACACAATGCCTGTCCAGACGTTAACGGCAAATCTCTGTTGACGAGATGATTGGATAGTTGCATGGGATTTGGGTCCGCCCACATGTGCTGATTATGAAAATTTTGGATTCCGTCCCATGTGAATGTCACCTCATCTGTGAACAAAACAACAACTGTGAAGTTAGACGTTGCACTGCATGGTTGCAGGAACCACCGGCAGAATGTTACTCTTGCAGGATAATCCACAGGAGACAAGGCTTGTACACGCTGTAGATGATATGGATACAGAACTGTTCTCGTAGAAGTCTCCAGATCATCATGTGCAGGATATTACACGCTTGGATAACTCTGTAATTATGCATTACTGGACCCATGTTGTCAGACACTTTTTTCTTCTCTCTATTTGAGGAGTCTGTTCCTTAAGTTTTGCCGTTCAGTTTTGATACACCATGTATATATATACCTTTTTGTCACTTTTATGAAATACGGATTAATCCATATATACATCCTGTATGAAATAAAGCAATGCTGATATACAAAGGAAATGCACATTTCTCACAAACTCTTCCCCAGCTATTACCTGAAAACTTCCAAAACAGGATCCACCCGGCAGCGTGACATAGCAGATGTATGGTGGGCTAGATGATGGAACAGATTCATAGATGACCAGGGCACCATTTCTCAAGTCTGCCCCACGTGCCTGCTTCATCTGCCAGAATTCCTGCAATGCCTCCACAACATTCACTGAAACACAGAATTTAAAGTATTTACATACGGACCTCCTAGCATACATTACAAAAGTGTCTGTGTGTGTCTGTTGCTTGTTATTTCTTGATTTTACGAGGGAGTACCCAAAAGAAACCGAACTTATTTTTTTTAAACTTATTTATTCAAATTTTAAGCACAAACCTTCAATCCCCTTCAAAGTACTCTCCACTTACACTAATACACTTGTCTAGTCTTTTATTCCATTTTTCAAAACATTGTCTAAATTCATCTTTTGAGATGCTTGACAGCGCCTCCATCGTTTTTCTCTTTTCATTTGAGGAAACAAAAAAAAAAGTTGCACGGGGCAAGGTCGGATGAGTATTGAGGGTGAGGAACAGGGGTCATATCATTTTTGGTCAAGAATTGTCATACAGACAGGGCTGTGTGAGCAGGGGCATTGTCATGATGGAAAAACCAGTCACCCGACTGCCACAAATCTGGCCGCTGAGCTCCAAGTCACTCCCGACAGCTCCACAATTTCTTCAATGGTCCGTCATCAATCTTCCTTGATGATTTCACGAATTTTTTCAACATTTTCATGTGTTCGGGCCGTGGAAGGACGACCAGAACGAGGTTTGTCATCAATTGACATTTCACCATTTTTGAAACGGGAAAACCACTCAAACACTTGAGTTTTCCCCATAGCATCGTCCTTGTACGCCGTTTTTAACATTTCAAGAGTTTCTCTTCCACTTTTCCCGAGCAAAAAGCAGAATTTCACCGTTGCACGCTGTTCACGGAAATCAGCCATTGCAAAAACGACGATCACACAAAACAGTTGTCACTATAAACTCTGCCGAAACTAGTCCTTACCTTCTGAAACAACGGTAGTCGGCTTATCGACTCGGGAATGTTAGCTCTATGCGCTCATAGTGGCAAAACGCGGTACTACAAAAGCTCTGCCCACAAAAAAAATAGTTTGGTTTCTTTTGCGTACCCCATCGTATATAAAAAAGGTATTCTGGGTTGAAAGTGTACATATATAAAACAGAGTATTTAGTTTGTTGCTACTTAGACATTTTGTTTGAAAAGTCTGTTTCACACATTAAGTTTAAATCTAAATATAAGTTTCATGTAAACTGCAAATTTGTACTGTACAGTATTTATTTGTTGCCATTATGCATCAATAAATTTGCCAATGTTTTTTTCTTTGCGGATGACACCAGTATTTTGTTTCTGGAAAACATTGTGCACTTAGGCACAAAGTTACTGATATCTTGTCTCTCATTGTAAATTGGTTTATAGTGAACAAGTTGGTCTTATATATTAACAAAACAAATATTATTAATTTTGCTCCTAAACAGTCTGCTAACTCTTTGCTGGCAGTATCCTTTGGAAACATGGTAATGAATGAAGTCCCTGTAATAAAATTTTTGGGTATACAAACTGATAATAAATTGAACTGGAAGAGTCATATGGAATACATCCTTCCTAAACTCAGTAAAAAGTAAAAAAAGTAAAGTTATCCCTGTAACAGGCCATGAAGGCCCATAGGGTTGTGAGACGTTAAGGGTCCCACATTACCTTGACAATCGGCTCAAAGATGGCAGTAACGTTGTCAGCCTTACGCACCGGCCGTGCTTCNGGTCAATTGAAAAAAATCCAATGACCTCATCAGGACTTGAACCTGCGACCTTCCAGCTTTCCTAAACTCAGTTCTGTTATTTTTGTAATTAGGAGTTAATCTTATTTTATGAATTTAAAAACCCTGCGAATTGTGTATTTTTCTTACTTTCATTCTATCATTAGGTATGGAATAGTCCTTTGGGGCAATTCGACTAATAATTCTAGAGTTTTTAAATTACAAAAGAAAGTAATAAGGATCATATTGGGAGTGGGGCCCAGAGACTCATGTAGAAGTCTTTTTAAGAAATTAGATATTTTACCACTGTCATGTGATTATATTTTTTCTTTGATGTTGTTTCTTTGATAATCAAAATAATGTATGTTCAGTTTCAGAGGTTCATGGCCTGAACACTAGAAGCACAAATCAAATTTAAGTTGCAACTTCAAACCTTTCTGTTTTCCAGAAGGGCACTATGTTTCCTGGTATTAGGTTATTTAATAGACTGTCTAAGACCATTCAAAGTCTCAGAAAGGATAGAATCAGTTTTAAAAATAATTTATTTTCATATATCATGAATTAACTCATTTTATACAGTTGATGAATTTTTGGAGCATACAGTAAATAATTAGTTAGTGTTTGTTTAGCTTTGTACTGTCTTTCTGCTTTGTTTGTGTTATGCTTATGACCAGTTTCATGTCCATTGTATTCTGGATTTGTGAAATGTGAAATATATATATGTACATATGTTTGTAAAGGTAAAAAAGGTTAAGCTATCCTTGTAACAGGCCATGGAGGCCAATAGGGCTGTGAGATGTCAAGGGTCCCACATAATCTAAACAGTTGACTCAGATGGTCGTAAGGTTGTCAGCCTTACACACCGGCCACCCTTTATCCCACAGGAAGATTCCTGGTACTCATTTCTGTTAGAGGCTGAGTTGACCCCAGGGCCATAGTGCAGCTGGAAGGATTAGGTCAATTAAAAAGAAAATCCACCTCATCAAGACTCAAACCAGCGACCTTCCAGCTTGTAACATAGTGCCTCAACCAACTACACTAGCGTGCCCCTATTTATTTATGGTTTATTTAACAATACTGCCATCAACTCAGTCTACAAAGCATTGAGTGGTAAGATATTAGTGAATAAAAATGGAAGTGAAGGGAGGCAGTCATGGCCTAATTTCTAGCACTGTCTGTTCTACCCCGGCATCTGCCAGGATGTTCTGAATAAAACCACATTCCTTAGTCATAACAACCAGTCTATGAGCATGCAGGACCTAATATATATTGCTTACACAATGAACTTGGTTGTCCAGAACTAAACAAAACCAAACAGATGATAAATATGAACTAAGTACTGCTAACATTAATTTTTTAATAAAAAAATGAATTTAGTTGGAACAGAACTGTTCTCATATATATGGAGTGTCCAGCTGGCTGACAGGCAGATATTCATAATATGCCTTTGAAGAGAGCTAAACAATTTTACCACTCAACTATGCTCAGATAACTGTACTGTTGTCTGAGGTTTTCCATTATATAATCAAAAGTTTGTGGAAGCATTCAGAGGTTCATGCCATCATTTGTGGTTTATTATTGTCTGTATATACAGTAACCAACCCCAGTCACAATAAAGATAGACCAAAAACAACTGGAGAATGTGAAATGTTTTAAATATTTGGGTAGCTTGTTAACAGATGATGGAAGGTGTACTTGTGAAATTAAATCCAGGATTGCCATGGCAAAAGCTGCATTTAGCAAGAAGAAGAATCTTTTTACCAGCAAATTGGACTTAAATTTGAGGAAGAAACTAGTGAAATGCTACATTTGGAGCATAGCTCTGT